CGAATAATCATTCCTCAGTTACCTTCTCCATACTAGCTTTCATGTTTTGGAAATCTGTCATGTCTCCTTCCTTTATCTATTTTAGGTGTTTTTCCTTTAGCTAAATCCTATTCTCTTTAATATGACTTTGTGTGAAAATTATAACTTGGATCATCCTTTTCACTCTTACATGCACTTCTTCTGGTTGGGAGCACCACAGCCACTCACAGTGTCTCAGATGTGGGTGAACCATACAGTTCGGTTCACTGCTGCTTTTGGAGTGGTATCCAACAGTATTTGTGTCCTGATTGTTAGTATCTATCAGTTACTGTAAGATATCTATCAGTTACCTGTCCATTCATTGCTGACAGTGACCCACTATGGATATGTTTGAGAAAGTTTAATAATCTTTATTGGTTTAGGCTTTTGCTTATCAAATCTTTTCTTGTCCTGCTGCACTATAATTTTAACTTTCAGAAGTTATCCTTTTTTTTTCTGGTTCAGTTTGAAGACACTGAAGGAGTGTTTTTTGAATATCCCTCTGTGCTGCTCTTTAATCACTGTTTATTTTTCAGATCATCTTAATTTTGTCTAGCACTCTACACTTACTGTAAGCTGCCAATAAGATGTCTTTGAACACACTCCCATGTGAGATTGGTATCAGTGAGAGTAATAATGCCCAAGAGGTGGATGTGGTTACAAGAAATTAAGAAATCTGAGAGAGGCTTAGTAATTTAAATATACACCCTGACTGTAAATAATGCTACAGGGAAGGGGATATAGACTCTGTGAAATGGAAGTGGACACAGTCTGGGTTCTTCTGTGTTCTGCTGCTGCCAGCAACCTCTATGAGACTAAGTCCAGTCAGGACCACTCCTGTAGGAGCCTCCTGACAAAGAAAAAGGCTTGCTAAGGATGAAAAAATAATAGAATTGAAGGGGATAGCAGAGGGACACAGGAATTGTCAAGGAGATTTGTCAGCAGAGAAAGATGCCAATTTGTGAGAGATTGATCATGTAGGTCAGAAGCTGGAAGGTGCTGTAGCAAATAAGCCTGGAGTGGAACTGGAAAAGCCCAACAGGATTGTTGGAGTCTTGTGTGCTCCTGAGCAAATGCCCTCTCATATTACTGATTTTGCACTGCTTTTTCTTTTTTATCTCTCCAGGAAAAATGCCGAGTGGCATAAAAACAAATATAAAATCTGCCTCAATGCATCCGTATCAGAGATGAGCTGAGATGAACCAGACCCGGGGAACAGCAACATTTGTTACTGCTGCAGGCACCCCACCTGGATTCCTTCTAGGACTTCCAAGTCCCTGCACAAATCCACACACCATATTCGGGAAGACAGGGTTTATAAGGCCCTTCCCTAGATGTTATTTAATGCTGGGTGGCTTGTGTGGAGCTGCTGCTGGCCGTGTCTCCTGGACACAAGTACTTCTCTGTTCAGCCAAAGCAGAGGACTTTGTTTGTGGTATTGATGCCATCTTCTCCAGGTCTGGCCTGGAGGATAACTACCCTTTCCTGACAGAGAACCTGAAGAGCTGCACAGAGCTCCTTGTTTCTGCTTGTTCACTTGGTGTGTTCTTTCTTTACTCAGTCTTGTTTAATAAAGACCTGTTATGCTCACTGTGAGATGCTGTGTCCATCTCTCAGGTCATAAGGACTCTTCTTTCCCTTTGGGTAAGGCCACGGAGCAGCTCCAATCTAAACCACACTGAAACTGTTGGAGGCCAAGTGCTGGAGCTGCAAGTCTATGTGTAAAGGGAGGTAGCACAGTGAGTCAGCAGGGCACAAATATAAGCAGCAAACACCTTGTGCATTAAAAAACAATTATGGCTGTACCCCAGAAAGTAAACTACTGGGAAGGACTATTTCAAGGCCCACAGCAAGAAGACAGCACTTGAGGAACAGAAGCACAGAGCTTTTGTATTCTGATGCTGCAGCAAATCCCAGCTGGATCTGATTTCACTTCCATGCTTCTCTGCTTCTGTTCTCTATGAAGTTTATTAGCTGCTTCAGAATTCATTTATCACTTCAGAAAGGTATTTCAATGTGAGCAGGACTGTGACACTTCTGGATGGGCCAGGTTGTGAAGTCTGGCCTGTTTCTCTTAGGAACTGGGCACTGTGAAGCCATCCCTGTTCTACTTTATGCCCTTGGGCTGTAACATATAATGTTACATATAATGTGCCTAATGAGAGATTCCCGTGAGACAAAAGGGTGGGTGCACATGCCCATGGAGCCTGTCAGTACATACAGCACTATCCTAAAGCACTAATGTCCTGCCTATGGTTACCCTTGCATGGACTTCCTTCTGACTTGTGTTGAAAGCCAGCAGTGTGTTTTACTCAATAGCATCTGTCAGCAATCTTCGTGTGAGGAAGTCTCCACTCAGCAGATACAGCCTGCAGCTGCTCCTGCACTGCTTGCCTCTGAGCTAATCAGATCCAGCTTATTTGTGGAGGCTGTGAGCTGTTCTCCCAAAACAAAACAATCCACAAAGCTGTGACTAGGGCAGTTACTGACCCATTTTGACATGCTGGCCCTTGAAAAGCACTGAGCTGGGAAGTAGAAAGTTGAGCTGGAAGCACGAACAGCTTACACAATAGCAAAGCTGCTCCACTACAAATGAGTCCATCTGCAGTGGCAGCATCCCAGCCAGACTGGTGGAATTGCTTTTTGCTCCTAATGAATGTGGAGGTCCTTGCTCTCTGGGATGCCACTGACTGCAGCAGGGAACTGGTGTGAAGGCAGTGGAGGCAGGTTTCTGGTTCCAGTGTGAGTGGTTTGTGCAAAAACAAGCTGGGGAGTCGGAGCCTGCAGGGCTATTCCTGTGCTGAGAACCACAGGGAGGGCTGTTCCCTGCTCTGTCTCATGTCCTTGCTTTCGTTGGAAAGGAAGGCAGAAAACTCTGTGTCAGATCCTTGGCACTCGTCATTCATGGAGCCTCAGCTCTAGGATTCTGCTTTGCTCCGTCCCCTCAGCCTGGCTTCCTTATAAAGCTAAAATGCCTCAGGGCCAGCAGCTGGCTGCACTGATTCGGGCAGCCCGGGACACAGGCAGGGCATGGCTGCCTGCTACCCACGCTAGCCTGAGTAAAACGCCTCCCAAAAACGCCTCCAGTGGGGCAGGCCAGACCTTTCACACAATTGGACTGGAGGAAGGGAAGCACAGGCAGGTTTTTTTCCATAGATTATAAAGCAGGGAGGCTGGCCAGGCTCCCAGGCTTGCCAGCATAACTTCCTGCATGACACAGGCTGCCTCGAATTAGTTCTTGTGTAAATTAGAGCACTGTTGTTAGGAAAACAGTTGATTTTAAACTGGTGTGTTCCTGCTACAGTGGCTGGTAGGTTGTTCTAGAAACTGTTTTTCTTGTTGCACCTTAGATTGAAGCTGCATTTCTTTAATTCCCTTCAAGTCGATGGATCTTCTCAGGAAGGAACTGAGCCTCTGAGTTGTTAGTACAAGAGGAGTCCGATATTATGATCAAGCTTTCCTGATCCTTTTTCAAGACAGACTGAACTGAGGAAAGTCCCTTTTGCTTTAAGGCATATTTTCAATTTCTTGACTCCCATCCAAATCTCCTTATGCATCTGTGTCCCTTGGGACACTGGACCAGGACACACTATTCTAATTGTGGGAATGGGAATTTCAAATGTAGAGTGACTTTAACCTCGTATCCAGTTGCTGCTAGTGATTGAATGTTTAAACAGGGAACAGGAACCAGCCTTTTACCCATAAAGTCACTGTGGAATTCATGGTCCACTGCTTGTCACTGTGGTCTGCATGTCCAACAGGGATTCACTGCTGCTGGTGCACTGTGTCAGAATAAAAGTGTGACCCTGCTGGGTCAGGGCAAAGGCTCAGGCTGTGTCCTGCTGTGGCAGTGGCCAAGTGGGTAATTGGGAAGCACACTTCCTGTGAGCATGGGATGTGCTGCCATTCTGAACTCTTGTGGTTTTTTCCCCTGCCTTATCCAATCCCTTTTGAACTCTTCTCTTCCAAGCAGGATAATTTTGACAGGGAGGAAGCTCAGCCCTGGCATGGCAGGTGCTCCTGCGTTGTCTGGGCTCCAGTTTGGGTGCAGGAGAGTGATGGAGAAGGGCACAGGTTTGTTCTGGCCCCCAAACCTCCCCTCAGTACCTGCCAGGCTCTGGTGCAGACAATGGGATTTGCTGCATAGCCCCCGTGCCCCAGGGATGCCAAGGGCTCCCAGGACAGCAGGCTGTACCCATCATGACTTAGTTTTTTTCCATGTAACCAGTTTTACCCTGCTGCAAACACATGCTCAGTACCAGCTCCCCGGGGAGCAGCTCCTCTCCTGCCTCATGCTTGGCCAGGCTGCCCATGAGCCTGTTCCTTGATCACACGCTGCTGTACCAGCTCTCTGACACTGAAGAATGTACAGCACCAAAAAATTTATCATGGTAGTCTGACAGGCTTATGGTCTGTAATCCTTGTTGATTGGTATTTATATTTCTCTGCTTTAAGTCTTTATCAATATGATCACATATTTTTGGTCATTATTTTCCATGGGATATCTGTTGAATAGACACACCTGTTTCCTAGGCCATCCTGTTTACTTTATTAATATGCTGGTATAACATCAACTTGCTTGTTCTCTGGAGCTTCTCCAGATTTCCTTGTGTTACTGGATCTCAGCATTAATAGTTTGGTTGTTTAAAAATGGATGTTATTTTTTTAGATGCAGGATACCCAGACTGAAGAGTTTTCAACATTTGCCTTATGCAACTGTTGTTTAATATCCTCCCGAGTTACTGTTAGAGTGCAAAGTGTTTCACCCTCGTGACAGGAATGCTTCATCTGGCTTCCTCCCAAATGCAGGAGAGAGATATTTATTGCCTTTCCTTCCTGCCCAGCTACCCACAGGCCCACTGTTCCCAGTCTGTATGGGACATGCAGCCATGCTGCATCGTGCCCACAGCGTGTCCTGCTGCTGCCCTGGGCTGCATCCTCTCTAGGAGCCATGAAGCTCAGAGTGGTGCCACCACTTCCCTGCATCTCTCTGCATCCAGTGACCAGCATGACAAACACCTGCTGCTTGTTTGTTCTCGTCCTGTCCCCAAGCAGCAATGTGCACACAGATGTCTTCTGTTTAAACAAGCAAAACATAACATGTTGCTTGTTTTTTTAACCTACAGATCTTTTAAGTGGATGTCATTAAGCCTTTAGAGTCGAAGTGAAGTCTATGAGGTGTGAGGGAAGAAGCAGCTGAAAAGATAGGGGGACAGAGGAGTGAGAGGAACCTCTTCAGTTCTCCACTCTCCATACAACAGGTAAGGCAGGGCTTTGGTGTGGGCTGCAGGGTTGGATTTTATCCTCCTGCTAGGATAGGATCTTTCTGCCAGAAACATCTGCGACCAAAGAAGGAGTCTTGTGGGGTTGGGTGAGAAAGCCAGAGCACTTTTTTATGCTAAGAAGCAAGATAATGGGGTGAGTGCTGACAAAGGGTGTTCAGCCAAGTTTTTCATCTGCATTTTTTCCAAAGCAGCTTCACCTGTAGCTCACAGAGGAGAGAAAAACACATGCAAACAGCAGCAGAAGATGCATCTTAACTGACCTCTGAAAAGCTCAGAGACTGCTTGGAAGTCAAAGGCACAAACACAGGGTAAGTGGTCAAGTGGTGGAAACAGCTCCCCAGTCTGGGTCTTTGCTTTTCCCCAGGCTCCCTGCATGAGCTTGGTGGCCCCAGGAGAGACAGAGCCTGTCTATGTGACAGCTGGTGCCTACAAATGAATACACAGGTGTTTTCAAAAAATCCCTTGGATCTCCTTTTTCCACCCAAGTGCAATAAACCTTCAACTATCTTACACATAAAATGTTACCACTTTGTGCCTCACAGAGATGCTGTGGTGGTAAAAGCTCATGCTCAAGAAATGGGATGTTTGGATGTATTTGTAATACATGCCATAAAAATAGTTCAAGCTGATGTGATTCCATAGTTTATTTACTGTCCCTATGATACTGCAGCTCTCTGGCTGGATCCAGGAACGCTGCCTTGGTGGAAACCTGCACTTAGAAATTAATGAAAACCTTCTGCAATTTCCCTAGGGGTAACCCTGTACATAAGCATAATGCAAAGCATGCTGTCTGGCTCCTCTGAAGGAGAAGCCCTTGTCCTTTTTATTTTTTTTTTGGAGTGTGTTTTTTTAAAAGAAAGGAAATTACTGCATGTATATTTCTGACTGAGATGCATATTTTCTAAAGTCAGGGGTTCAAGAGCTGTAGTTCCTGCAGCAGCTATCTTATCACTGCTGTTCAGATTCTGTCATTGATTTACCTGCTTGTTCTAAGGCTTTTCCCTTTGCTACCATCATGTCCAAGCAGTTTCTGCACTGAAATAGCAGTGGGTGCTAAGTCCAGCCTGCTATGTCAGCTCCTTTCCTCTGAGTAAAGACTGTGCCTCAAGGGTACTTTTGCATTGAGGTTTTTATTTGCTGGCCATACCTTGGGGTAAAGGCCATGCTTTGGGTCATTGCTGTCTGTGGGTGTTATTTCAAAGCTGCAGCATTTCCCAGGATGTTCCTCTTTTGAACACACAATATTCAAAAATCTATGCCAGTTGCCAGGTGGCTTTGGTGGGATGTGTCTGTCTCCCACTGCCATGTGCCAGCCTTGGGCTGCCCCCACCCTGGTATGCAGCACAGAGGTGTGCTGCTCCCATGGGAATTTGGCTTTGAAACGTGCAGCGGATGTTTATGTGGAGTTTATTTTTGGTACTGAAGTCGGGGTCCTGCTGTGTGATATAAGAGAGACAGCACTTGTCTCCTGCTCTGCTGCAGCAGCCTGGCGGGACTTCAAAGCACTGCCCGAGAGCCCGTGGCAGTAGCTAACACAGGAGCGGTTTGCATCCCCCTGAGAAACATGTTCTGCATAAGTGGGGCTGTGGAACCAATTCTGGCTGTCTTGTTTTTGTTTATTTAGGCTCTCATGGGCATCACAGCAGGACAAACAGTGTCAGTCATCATCTTCCTCTTCATCATCGTCATCATGGCACAACCTGTTTTGCTCTGTCTGCAGAACAATGCATCAGGTCGTGGCTTGATCGCACACGGAAGGAGCCGGGCAGCACCGAGGCTGTGGCTGGGCAGGGAGCCGGGCAGCACCGGGGCTGCGGCGGGAGGAGCCGGGCAGCACCGGGGCTGCGGCGGGAGGAGCCGGGCAGCCCTGGGCTGCGGAAGCCCCACTGCAGCTGCTGAGGAAGTAATGACTCACAGAATACTGGTGTGGGTGCATCCACCATTCCTCTCAAATGCTGGTATTCACTCACACAGGGAGTAAAACCAATAGGAAATTATAAGAGTGTTCCAACCCATGTTTTGAGCATGCAGCTCCGTCTCCCTTTGCTTCTCTGTCCTGTGCTCTCTGGTGTGTCTTGCTGGAGCTCAGGTGCAAGATGCCTGTCCCCTCACACATATTCAGGGAGGCCATCAACAACACTTTTTGGAGAGGTGAGTACATACCTGTTACTGGGAGAAACAGTGCAGCCTCTCACTATGGGAGCTGCCCCACTGCTGCTCTTCCCTTCCCCTGTGCCCCTTGGACCTGCCAGGCAGGTGCAGGAGGTCATGGCAGACCTGACACAAGTTTTCTTATCCCTCAATTTCCTTTTTCTCCCTACCCACTATGGGTCTCAGGGCATGTACTTGTGCTGCTGACTGTGCCAGTGGACAACCTCAGAAGCAGAGAAGATGCCAGGCAGGCCAGAGAAGAGGAGAGTATCCCCTGCCAGCCTGCAGCCCAGACAGACAGGCAAAGCCCAGCCCTGGCTGGAGCTAAACATGGCCTCATTTCATGGCAAAACAATTCCTCTTTGTGCAGCCTGTTCTCCCAGAACAATCCTCTGCTCTGACAATATCCTTTCTGTGGCTTAGCCTCTGTGGAGTGAGCAGCAGTGTGCTCAGCCTGATGCCTGGCAGCTCACACCCTGCTGCCCCATGGCTGAGGTGCAGCACCTGAAACCCCTGCCCTGGGCAGCCTCTGCTGAGGACTCTGTGGCCACTTCAGGTCAAGGCAAAGTCTTCTCAGGAAAGTCCCCAGCACAGCCTAAAGCACTTGGGAGGGTTTTTTCTTCTACCTTTGCTCACTCCGTGGAGCTGCATGGCACTGCTGTTCCCCAAGTTAGGAGGACAGGCTGGGACACAGTTGTGGAGTGTGACATATGGGTGTCAAGTCACCAAATCTGACCAAATCACAACTGCCTGAGTGAAGAAGTCACCTAGCTTCGCCAAGCTGCTCCCTCAGGCTCCAGGCAGTCTGGGACAGGTTGCCAGAGATGATCAGCTTCTCTGGGCTTTAAATCACAGAGGTAAAATGAAATTACTTCATATGGAATGGAACTGCATGGCACTGCTGTTCCACAAGTTAGGAGGACAGACTGGGACACAGTTCTGGAGTGTGACATATGGGTGTCGAGTCACCAAATCTGACTGTAATCACAACTGCCTGAGTGAAGAAGTCACCTAGCTTCGCCAAGCTGCTCCCTCAGGTCTGGGACAGGTTGCCAGAGATGATCAGCTTCTCTGGGCTTTAAATCACAGAGGTAAAATGAAATTACTTCATATGGAAAGGGGACTCTGGGGATAAGCAGGACCATGGCTTTGTCATCACCTGCTTTTTCTCTCTTCAGGATCATGTGCCCATGAATTGTCATGCCCATGTGCTCAGCTTTGAAAGGTGCCTGAGAAGGGGCAGTTTTCATGTTGCTACAAGAGACAGAGCTCCCAGAGCTCTTCTGCCAAGATGTGGCCTGTGGCCACTCACCAATACTGGTACAGTGACCAAGGGCTCTTGTTGAGCTGCATGTCCTGAAACCTTCTGACCTCCTGACCCTTTCCAGCCTCCTGCCAGTCCACTCTGGGCCTTGAGGTAGTCCTGCCATGCCTGCTGCTGTGCAGAGACACCAAAAAATGGGCTTCTCCAGGCTTTTAGTATCCTCAGACACCTTGCTATGGCTATGGCTCGGCTTCTTTCCCTCCCCCCACTGCACAATTTGATGGATTTGAAACAAGCACCATTATTCCATAACACTATCCTCTAGGCCACAGGAACAAATAAGGATGCTTTAACAGGTCCAGAGTGGGCTGAGACTTCTGGCACGTCTGTGGAGGACCCCAGGGTGTCCTGTATTGCTGGGGTGATGTTGCCAGCCCATGGAGGTGGGTGGGTGGCAGGCCTCACGCTGGTGAGGCTGCTATGCAGCTGACAAAGAATTCTTGTCCCTGTAGGAAACAACAGTCATGTGTGCTGCCCACCCCAGCTGGCAGGCAAAGTCCAGCAATTAAACACACCGGGGTGAAAGTCTGCTGTCAAAGCTGCAGTGCATCACCAGAGTGCCAGCAAGCTCCCAGGTGATGCTTGCACTGCCCCTTCCAGCTCAGGGAATGCCTTTTTGCAGGTGACGTTTAAATGTAAATCTAAGTGTCATGTTACAGCAGGGGTTCCAGCGGGGTCATTTCATGCCTGTTGGCTACAGAAATGTTATGGACTGTTTGCTGGTAGCTTGAGGGGCTTATAGGGACCTCAGATTCCAGGAATGCAAGCATTTCTTTTGGCTTAAGGGAAGAGGGCAACAGTGATGGGGTATTTTGCCTTTACTGCCACTACAATGTAATCAGCACAAATAACAAAAAAATTTTCACAAGGTGAGTCACTTAATTTTGATATCAGCCGTGGAAGGAGGCAACACATCAGCCTGAACACATGCCCAGGCATGGCCTACCTGCCCACCTCCATTTATTGAAATTGCAGAGTGACATGATGGCATTTAATGGGCCTTTAGGTGCTGAGTAGTGTCATCTCTCACCACTTCTAGTGGCCATAAAAGCCTTTTTTGATTCTCTCAGTATAGACAGAGGTATTGTAGGAGCATTTCTTGGATGTGTTGCATTTGTGAGCATAATCAACTAACCATTTTTTTCCATGGAGCCACAGAGAAAGTGTGCAGCAATAATTTGTGGTTGATACTGCTTTAGAGTCCAGCCTCAGGGAAAGGGAGAAGGGGAAAACAACACTAGAGAGCCAATTTACATTCAGTGTTTTTATCTGGTGACATGCAAAATTTTTGGTTTTTCAGGATTAAATAGAAAAGGATGGGAGGATCTGTAAATCATTTTCTCACTCCCCAAGTGTATTAAGGTGTGTAAATTTACTATGTGCGTCAAACACATTACTGAAAAATTACAGGGCAAATTGTTTATGTGTTTAATTTCACTGAATTAATTTGAAGTTTTTATTTTCTTTTAGATTTTTTCAAGTTCAATAATGTTCATGTTTTTGCCAAATAAAACTCTCACTGTTCAATTGATCAGTATTAAAAAAATTAATTCATAGTTATAAATTCATTGAAAAAGAGAATATAAATTTACTATATAAACCAGGCATGATAAAAAGGATATTTTAGTTCCCCAGAAAACAAAGATTTTTAGAATTTCTAAATTGTCAGAAAACTGAGAAAATTGACACCTGAAGAGACTGAAACCACCCTCTTCCCACCCAGGTGGGTAGTGAGCCTAAGCCAGTCTTCAAGACTGGCACCAGAAAAGATACAACACTGCACCAGCATCTCTCATTACATGCAGAAAAAATTATCATTACTAATCCCTGAGGTCATAACCTCTCAATGAACTTCATTCCTTTTCCATTGCTTAGTTCTTACAGACCTTCCCATCTGATAGTCTGGTAATTGTGTGCACTGAGGATGGCTTCAGTATTTGTGCCTTCAGCAAGTTACATGAGCCCACGCCTGCTTTTTGCACCAGGGCAGAGCCGTGAGGGGAAAGAGAGGTGCACTTGGCTCTGCAAGGAGCAAGCAGGAGACAAGGAGCAGTGGAGGGAACAGTGCAAAGGAGGAATGCAGAGGCTCCCACCCACCTCCATCTGACTGGATCCCCATGCTAAGAAGGACCAGCAAGACCCTCACTAAAGCTAGAGTGAAAATGGTATGTTGTTATCCAGGTAAGAAATGGAGGAAGGAGCTTAAGCTTTTCCAGACTGGAGCCTGGTGCAGCCCAGGCTGCTGGGAGCAAGCACAGGTTGTTTCTTGAATTGCAGGTGAAGAGTTAATGACTTGCAGGGCTGTGCCAGCTGCAGGAGTGGCTAGAGCAGGCAGGACTCCCTCGTGCAGGCATGTGACAGGATCATCTCTGGTCTGGTGGTCCAGACTGCAGTCAGGGTGGCACGCTTGGCTGGCTGCAAACAGCTTCTCTTCCCCAGGTTTCAGGTCAGATGGGCAGGATTCAAGATGCAAGCAGAAGATTACTCACCTATGAAAGAGTCTGTCCCAAGACACCTTGGGAAGATCAGGCTGTACACAACAGGTCCCATCACTTGTCTCCCCCGCCTCCCTTATTTTTGAGGGATTTTCTTTGCTGTGTGTTCTTGTGCTACCCTGCTTCCAAAGAGGCTGGAAGGCAGAAACCCAGATCCACAACACGTACCAGATTAATCAAGTCCTTGCTGGAGTCCTGTCCCCAGGGGTTAGGAGGGGATCCTGCATCGCCCCCTTGGAGAGCACAGCACCAAATCCATGTCCCTGCAGCCAGGGTGCTCCTGCAGAGCAAGGTCCGGGTCCTTGCTCCAGCTCCTGTCCGGGCTGCTGCAGCACTGCAAACGGTGTGGGGAGGGTGAGCACCAAGGAACCCAGACACCCACTGAGCATGGGAAGTAAACAAAGACCAATAGGCAGACAAAGGGAACCCATCAAAGCTATGAGTGTGGAAAGAAGAGACTGATGGAGGAGAAGTAAAATGGTGAAATCTATTTGATGTGTTGGAGAATTAATGAGTGAAGCAGAAGATGCAGTAGAAATGAAAAAAAATAATGAGCAAATACCATGCAGAAATAATGGTGGAGGTGGCAGACACAACAGGGAAATAGTCCAGGACCAAGAGAGGAGAAATAAATTGCATTCAGAGCAGAAGAAAAGAGAGTGGCCTGGAAATTAATTCCAATAGCAGGAAGAGGCTGAGCTGTGCAATTTGGGGCTCGTTGTTAGAGCCTGACAAGCCTGCCAGCAAGGGTGGATCCAGAGGAGAGAAGGAATACTTGGAGAAAGCTATGAGATGCAGGAAAATAATCCAGTACAAGGGAGTGTGAAGGAATCACCGATCTCTAATTTCATGACAAACTACATAGCAAAAACTCTAAAAATAGAGTAATGTTGCAAGATAAAAGGAAAACAATAAAGAAAAACAGTGAAGAGTAACAAACAAGTCTGATGCCTATACTTAACAAGGGAGAAAAAGTGATCCCGAGTGCTTTGGCTCTGCCAGTCTGGTGTTAACAGTATCCAGTTAAAGAGTAACACAGCATGCAGGCATGAAATGGAGAATAAAATAAAGTTTATTGTGTCGATTAAGTTGATAGTTAAAAAAAAACCTCCTTTCTATAAAGCTCTAGGCCCTGCGGGGACTCCAGAGAAGCAGCTCTGAACCTTGGGATCAATTAGGAACCATGGTAGATGTTGGGGCAGAAAGAAGCACAGGAATTCCATGTGGGAAGGAGTGGTTCAGGTCAAGATGAAAGCAAAGACTGACACACAGGTTACTACTGAGGTACTACTGAGGATATTTTTATAAATTATTTTCCTTAAGGACTGGCACAAATATTAGGTGTAATCTGATGAAATCAGAATGTTGTAGTGCATTAACAATGTTGGGGAAAGTAAAGGAATGCTGTACCATCAGAAAAGAGCAAGAAAGTCACCAGAAGAGACACTGACCTGCATCTGCAAATGCAGCCCTGCCTGTATCCAGGTGGGAAATTCTCACTAGGTGAGCACAAGCCTATAACTGCTTCTGGTCACCCATCTTCAGGAGAGGAAAGGTGAACAGCAGTACAGCAAAAAGAGCTACCATGGCATTAGGTGCAGGGACAGGCAGACTAGTGAGAAAATGCTGGAAAAACTTGTTCAGTCTTCCCTGTAATGGCTGAGGGAGATGATTGCAGTCTACAAACACACTGTAGCATCAACACCGAGGCAGGACAGTGGTGAGATAAATTACAATGCTGGCACAGGAACGAGTGTTTATTAACCAGCTGTGCATCAAATTAAGCTGGAAATGAGATGATTCCTAATAATTAGAATAGTGAGTTCTGAAAATGCCTTCAGACCAGAGGAGAGTGAGTCGAGTCCCGGCCACTTTTTAGGAGGCGGATTGGCCTGGCTGTGGAGGCGCCACGGGATGGAAACACTCTGGAAGCTGCACACGGTCCGAGCGGCCTCTCTGGGCT